GCCGCGTTTCAGCGAAGAATTGGAGTGTTCCCTCATTTCCGATTTCCGATTTGTACAGTTGCTACACATAAAGGTTCTTCTTAAGAACCATGGGTTCAATACAGAAGTTCAAAATTGAGCGTCAGTCAAGATTTAGACGCAGGGACAGACTCACAATTTATGGAACTGAATCTGTTTGTGGAATGAAGTTGAGCCTTTAGGAAATCCTGTGACTAAAACAAATACGACAAGTACAGATCACAGTGACTGGAGGAAAAATAACCAACTGCAGAATGTATAAATATTTAGTTTATTACATCTGTTATATATTATTTCCTTTGGAATATCGTCGTAAATCCAGCGAATATTTATATTCTCGATCTTACATAAATTCAAGTAAGATAAGGAAGTGGCTTTCCACTGATAAAAAACTAAAAAGACAAATAAATTATAAAGTACCTCTTAAAAACCCTCCTTTAACCTGAAGCGTCTAGAGTCCTCTGAAAATAACTAAAATGTATCAAGAGTATTGAGAGAAATGGGGACGAACCAGCTCTTTGAAATACAAGCTCCAAATACAAGTATTTTATCCGGGGGGCGGGAAGGGGAATAATTGATCTGTAGCTGCCACTGGCTTGGAGGCTTGCTGTACCATTTAGGAGATAAAAAAGTGTTTGGGTTCCCTCATTTCCGATTTGTACAGTTGCTAAAAAAAAGGTTCTTCTTAAGGCCCCAAATAAACTAGTCGAATTCTGGATCTCTCTCTGTCACGCCGTGTTATACTCCCGGGAGACAGGGTAATCCCTTCTCCCGAGAGCATGACGTTGCGTGAAGTAGGGCCAGATCTTAGCCAGAACTGGACTACAAGGAACTAGATGTGTAGATATTACATTCAAGCTTACATTGAAATAAATACAACCCAATATCTTGGGACGTGGCTCTTGGCTGGTCTAGTCCATTTGACTTTACTAGATTATGGGCCCGAGCTAGAGAAAGTGAGTGGTTGATACGAAGCTATGGCTAATTTCTAGCTCTGGGCCTGAAGACCTACTTGTCACTATATTGACCAAAAAACCAGTACATTCTATTTCCATAGTGCCAGCCTTGCATTTCAAATTTCCTAAAAAGCGCTTGCGTTGCATAACTATCGCAGTATGCAACTGAATAAAAATTATGTTTTCCACAAAATGTTTTTGTGAGCCAATCTGTAAACTGCATCTGAAATCATTCATTTCTCAAGAGTGATCCACAGTTAATTTCTCTTTACAACATCAATACATTGTAAGGCAGCCATGTAAATAAAAAAAGAGAAACTCAACTTAAGATATTTTCTTGATGCACCAATTTACACCTCATATTATTCAAGAAAGCTGACATTACATCTTGTGCACAACAATAAATAATAATAATAAACAATAAACATTTCAAGGTTCAGTAAATGAACAGGTTAACAGTGCATCTGAGCATATTTTAGGTTTTATCCCTTGGGTTTAACCTGAATTTAGTCAGCATTTAGCAAGGTCTTTTAAGGCAGGAGATATGTGGATACACGAACAGTGGGAAGAGATACTCTCTGTTTGCTTTAATCTATGAACAGTATCTATTTTTAGGGCCTCTCAGGGATTTGGGGAACAATTGAACATGCTTGTTTATTTCAAGGGATTACAAATTAGGGATATTTTTATGGATTTAAATTTGATAGAACAAGGTGAAAATTTATTAACAGGTGGCATTAGAAAAATATTAAACAGGATCAAAGGAACATGTTTCCTCCCCTGGGAGGTCCCCATCTGTGACTGTTACAAGTGTAGGGTGAGTGAAAAATGAACAAAATAAAAAGCACAATCTATGAGCAGTGAAGCCTCAAGCTTTAGGGCGACCCAGTCGGCCAAGCTACTCACTGCATCACCCACTTGTGCTTGTATTTTGTTAACTTAGACCTGCTTTTCATGTCCTTAATGTTTTTCCAGTATGCTTCTGATGTCCTTTCTCCAAATAAACTTGTGCCTTTAGACTACCTACAGACGTCTCCTACATGGTATTTTCTTTTGCAACAGAGTAAGGAGATGAACATGTACATGCAGGCTACTCATGCCTCGGACCTCAGATATGATTTCAGGGTCCCTCCAGATGTGATCCATTACCAGTATTCAAAATAACAGGCCCAAAATAACTTACATCTTTGACCACTGCAGTAAAGGTGTCAAACATCGGACTCCACCGATCTTAAGGTCCCTGCTGATCTGACATCTCTGATGGCCTTATGAGATACCCATGGATTAACATAACCACTGTCACCAACACTTGGTATTGATACAATTGAGTTTCTGTTTACTTCAACCCTTGCCTGGCCAGGCCCTGCATTGCCCACAGTACTAGACGAGGTCAATGAGCCTCTCTGAATATTTACAGCTGCATCACGATGATTAGAACCAGATGAATTACTGTCACTTAAAGAATGATTCGACTCTTGCCATGGAACAAACCTTCTCTGTTCCAATGTTTCTCTAACTTGATCCAAAACTGAATCAATATGCGTATTACGAGGCATGCAATCTCCATTTGTATTGTCCCCCATAATGCCCGGATATGGTGGCAGCTCATCATCATTGTCATCATCATGTTCATCAGAAGATATATGATCTGCATTACGCGAGTGCTGTGGGGTCAACTCTGCCCTAGCCAAGGGAGAAATACCTCTGTGAATAGAAACCCTAGGGGTACTTTGTGGTGTGGAATGGCTGGATGTCCCTCGGTGTGGTCCAAAAAGTGGCATTCCAATAGGGGATCCCACTTTAGGAATAAGCATTGGTGATCCATGTCTTTCAAGTGCACGACGTGCTACTGTTGGTGTGGAAACTGGGGACCCCTGCCGAGGGGTCGCTACTGGAGTATTGGCTAATGATCCTTGACATGGTGTTGGTGGGTAAAGCTCTGGATAGCGCATAACTGTAATGTGATAGAAACAAAACACATAAATTCTCATAGTTCCTAGAGTTCTCCACCAAGGGAAAATATATGGGTACTAGCAAATATGCTGCAGGAGGCAGGCTAACCCTGCAATTGACTAGAACATATCATCCAAGGGGAGTAGAAATACTCCTAGTCACTCCATCCTATGGAATAATAATAATAATTACTTTATTTAAAATTATAAAAATTCAATATAGTGACATTCCTGCTCTCATGTTGCTTTACAAAGAAATTTGAAAAAAACTATACGAATGGAATTAAAATCTATACATAAAAGGAACAAGGTTTAAAAACAAAGTACAATTCAAAATATTTAACTATCAAATAGAACTGCATGTCTGTACATGTATGTGATAGTGAAGCCTAGCAACAAAATGGCTGGGAGATCATTGCACACTCTCTTCAGCCAGTTTGTACTATCAGTGATGACTGATAATGATCAAACCAATGGTCAGTATGCATTTTAACCTAGAGTACTGACAGTTATTAATTTAAATTATGTAGTACATACACATATCCCTTTGCATGTATTGCAGACCTATAATCCAAGATACTGGGTAAATGCCTTATTTGCACATTGTAGTCTTATGAAGCTCTAAAACTTTCACTCAGAGGAAATGGAGTAAAAATAGAAGCTTACCATCATCATAGGTGGGTGGCGCATTCTGTTGAAAGATGTCATTGTCAGAAAACGAAACATGTCTGCGGTTGCTATTTGTTAAGCTGCCATTACGTCGTTCCTGCAATCTCCTTCGAGTGTGGCTGAATGTGATGATTGACAGGATGGCAAAAATTGCAGCGCATGCCACACCTATCACAATTCCAGTGTAGTGACGACTGAAATCCATCATATCTTCATCTTCCTCTTTTGCTACTAGGAAGCAAAGGGAGCATTGATTATACCGGTAGCCTTTACAACTGCATTCCCAAGTCAGAATGATGAAGATTAAATTTTGCTTTACATAATTTTCTGGTGAGAAACACAAAAACATTTCAGCTGGGATATTCCTCAAAATAATGACCTATCACAACCTGAAAGTGAAACTAAATTAATATCTAATTATCTATTTGAGATTGCTGGTACCAAAAGTAAATTACGAAAACAGCATACTGTTTGGGCAGGTCCTTCTAATGCTAACGCTATGGACTTGCATACCGACTCAGACTTAAGTATACACACCACAAACATATTTTTACCATAAATTAGTTCCTAAATGCATCCAGGGGTTTGCAAAATCATCTCCAGAGCTGGTCAATTCACCTGGTGCCCCGCCCTTAATGAAAAATCTGGGCATCTTACCTTGATCATCTATAAGACTTGTAGTGTATGTTGCAATGAAGCCTTGAGCTGAGGTGAGCTTGTTAGACACAAACTCCACCCTCATTCCATTTGCTGAAGAAACAATTTCCTCTCCCCAGCCGTCCTGACCTCCACAAAGAGTCCTCAATGTGTCTGACCAGCTGTTGATACCGTCTTGGATGACAATGTAGTCTGGGCAATCTGGATACTTGTTGTAAGCTGTTTCCAAATCAAACTTACTGTGGATAAATTTTACAATCATACAGTATTTATTATTTTTCTTTTTGTTGTACATGAACTTGCATACATGTATAAGAACATGGCACAGACTTTATGATAACATAAAGATGTTTACTGAACGCATGTTAAACAGTATGTTGTACATGGATAATAGGTAAAGGTAAAGTCTGAATACGAGCCAAGTGGCCCATCAGGCCAGTGCTTATCCCAGTTTCTGTAGCATGAAGTGACTAGGAGTATTTCTACTCCTACCTAGATGGGATGCTAGTTCATGGCAGGGTTACCCCCAGCATTAAGTTTGCCGGTACCCATTTATCTGGGTGGAGAGAGGCACTGTGAGAGTTAAGTGTCTTGCCCAAGAACACAACACAATGTCCCTGGTCAGGGCTTGAACCTGGCCCACTCAATCCAAAGACAAGTGTAATAACCATGAGGCCACCGCGTATAATAAGCCATTAATATTTCACTTGTATTAGTTTTACCTAGCAGTTGCCTTTTACTGCTTCTAAAAGATTAAAACTACAGCTATAGATATGGAAGATACTCTGTGGTTAGCTGTGTGGTATGCCCATGACACTTGTTAGCTTCAGAAAATTACTGAATAATTTACAATAACTAGGTAGCTAGGACTCACCTAAACTGCAATGTAATGTAGTAACCGTCAGGAACATCTATTTCCCAGATACAATTTGCTTCATGAGGATAACCAGCAGGGTACCCCGGGGAATAGAAAGTTCCAGACAGGGTATTCATGGTAACGCCACAACTAGCTGTTAACAAAAAGTGCAAAAACGTTGTCAGTACTTTCTTAATTAAATATTTCTGAAAGTAAATGCACTTCATTATTTGTCAACTCTCACATGAAGTACAGCTGTAATTGTCATCACTATGGATACAGCAATTAGAAATGCACTCTGACTAGCTTTTAAGTTTTTTGCATCTGGACAAATTATTAATAGAGTCAAACCTCCTGTAAGGGACAACCCAAAATGTCAAGCCCAGGTGGTCGACTACAGGAGGTGGTTGCTTACGACCGCATAGACCATATTGGGTCAAAATTTTTCCTTGTTAGCATATGGTAACCGCAGAGACTTAACCCATGTTTTAACTGTTTTCTTTTCTTGAGAAAAAATCTGGTACTTCCCATTGATAAATTGCTGTCTCTTGTACAACCCAGGAATGCGATAATATTATGTACAACACCTTATTATCCAATTTTTCCTCTTTTATCTGTCTAGTGGTCGCTTATGGGAGGTTAACAACAAAAGAAAATTTCAAAATTTTATCGCTAAAAGTGGTTGTGGTTGCTTAAAAGAGGTGGTCATTTACAAGAGGTTCAAAATATAGTGATTTGAATTGGAAACTTTTGGTATTTTGGAAAACTGGTCACTAAGGAGAGGTGGTGGCAACCGGAGGTTCAACTGTACGTAAATTTGATCAAGTACAAAAAGTACATGTACATAATATATACATGACACTTGTAAAAATCTCTGGCTTAATTTGTAAGATCACACTTTTAGCAAGCTAGGGTTAATGACTTTGAGAATAACACTTACATGGTGCAGAAGACATCTTGCAGTCCACTGGAGCTGTTGGATCTCCTATAGGGCCGATTAAAATCATAAGGATGACAGCAGTAATATTACAGTGTATTTTTATAAGCTTTTCATTTACATGTGTATGACAAATTGTGTGGTTCTAAAAAATCTGCTGCTGCAAAACATTTCCATACTCCTCTCCTATGGATGTTTTCTTTTCTTCTCTAAGGCCAAAAAAAGTTTCTCCCAGCACAATTACATAATTTATTGAAAATTAAAAAAAATCTTACTCTTTAACAATACTTCAGTCTGTAATTTATAATTTCATGTATCACTGGGCAAGTGATGGATAAACTCTGATCCACTATGCCAACTGCAAAATCCACTAGCCTTAGGCTATTGAATGCAACTTTCATTGAACATTGCACACAATATCCAATTTATCCACCCCAAAGAGCTTCAGTAGAAATTCCAAGGAAAAGGGCTATCAAAAACCAAATGTTTTTGAAGGAAAGTATAATTTATGTACATGTATGTTAAGTTAAACTGGAATTTCCGGTACATGTAGAGTAGGGTTTAGAACCAAAAAACCTTTCTTATTTAATTCTGTGATACAGTTATAAGTATTGATGATATTTTCTGAAAAAACACATAATTTATACATGTAAATATGACAAGCCTGCCTCCTTATATGGATATTAAGTATTTTTCGCTATTAATAAATAGATATACATGTAAAAGTGTTTTTCATATCAAATATCTTTAAACTTATATTTTGAAAAAAAATATTATACTCACCACGACCATCCTCCTGGAAACATCGGTTTCTTACAGCTGAAACTTCATCCCTTGTCAATGCTTTGTTGTAGATTTGCAAACACGATATTCGTCCTTCAAAACTGTCACCTTTGCGTTGTCCACTACCTATACGAATATCTTTGTCTGTACTTAATTCGACCTTGCCAAGATTCATTTGCTGAACGTCTATACCATCTATCCACAATGTCGCAGTACCAGTGTTGTAGTTGTACGACGTTCCAACATATTGCCATTTATTTTGAAGACTGACTGTATGGTTGCGAAGAATGGAAAGAGACTCTCCACTGCGCTCCAGAAATTGTACCTTTACAGAATTACTATCCAATGTATAAAGCCCTGCTCCTCCTTTATTGTTATTATCCAAGTATTGAATGATAGAACCTGCTTGCCCAGTTTGAAATATCCAAACTAGAATCGTGATAGAATTCTTAGCATCCAAGTGTGGACTCTGTGGGATAGTGATGTGACTTGTCCCAATACCAGTAAACTCATAAGCAGTATCTGCCTTTCCAAAAGGGCCTGTAACAAGTTGGACATCCTTCGGAATTCCACCAAAGTTACCATAGCAACTTGCATCTGCCGTATTGTAGAGTCTATTAAGTGGATACAATCCGATAGGATATGGTAGCGAATCTGAAAGGATTCAGAAAACTCAGCAATCAATATGAAAAAAAGTCAAAACATCTGAGTGTTTTTTGATATAATTTTATGAGGTCAACAAGGCCACAAAAAAGCAATTTAACCAACAAACTGGAAGATTTCACTCTTCAACTTTAGGAAATTCCAGAAAATCACAAAGGCATATAAAAGCATTTTGATTCAAGACTAAAAACCATAATCTTACTGAACAGGGATGACTTTCAAGCACTGTTTCATCATTGCTTATTACATTTAACAAGAGTGAAAGAAACTGGGTGTAAAGACGAATGCAAAACCAGCTTTCAAAAATAATTACAACACTAATACACTCAACGTTAACATGATAAATGACTATCCTACCGAGCCACCTTAAAATCAGAAAATTAAAAACCCTTCTTACGTTTATGGCAATGGCAGCATTCCTGGTTAGCAAGGTCATGTATTAGAGACATGCACTAATTCTAGAGGCATAAAATAGGGTATCAATTTTTGGGTCANTGACCTCGATATTCTCGTGACTAAAGGGCTTCTAGAATGCACAGTGTGAAGCCAATAGTAAATCAAAATGGTTCATTTCATGAGCTACCATAACGATTCAACACTTCACAAATATCAGCAAAAACACTAAATAACAAAACACGAGCTAAACTCTATAGCTTTGGTTTTAGGAAATAGTTCGTTGGTTCAAGCGATCCGAACGAGACAGATATTTTTACCGCAAGACTTCAATACACACTACAGTCCCTGCCATCTTTTAATACAATTATATTTATACATGATCTGAAATAACCGTAAACAGCGCCACAGGAAGAGTTCTTGTGTACATGAGCAGAACCTACCTTCACAAAACCCGATGAATGGAAACACGGTAAGAGTAAACACGAGCACACCACGACAATACTGGCACGTATCGACGACTTTGCCAGCCATTTTGAAGTTTGACAGCGTAGAAAGTCAGCTACATCGAAGTTTTCCAGGCTTATTGTTTTCGTGCTTCATGAAAAAAGTGTCGACATCCAGCAGGTTAAAGTATCAAAGCTATTTCAGGGGCGTACACAGAAATATCAGACGGTTTCATATTTCACTACGCACGGTTTTCGTGGCGTTGCAAAATTTCTTTTCTTCCGAGATTGCTCAAGTATTGCACAAGTACAGCATCCGATACTATCTCCTCGCACATGAAAGAAAACTCGACGAGAAAACAGACCTCGAGCCCTGTAAACCAAAGAAGTTAATCCCTAGATGGACAGGGAAGCCAGCACGATCGTACACAATAATAATCCACTGAGTGGTTTTATCACGCAAGTCACAACCAGCGTTTTCCCGCGTAAGCTGAAGCGTCGCGTTGTATTCCGCTCACAAGCGATAGCGGACGCGTATGTCAATCAAATTGTTCAGCATAGAGAAATCGCACCACGTAAAAACTTCAATTTTTTTTTAAAGGCACTTGGCTATGACCTGCTCTTTTTTTTTTAAACGTCTTCCATGCAGTTCGCGAGACAAAGGAAAAAAATTCAATTGAATAGCAGATTGCTGGGGAGTGGGGTGAGGAAAGTCAAGACTAGTGGTCACTGGTGGGGTAAAATTGCAAATAAAATTATTTTGACTCCTTAGTTTCTTTGGATTTGATAATTTTGACTACTTCAAATTCTGGGTGTTTTTAGAAGAGTCCCAGCCATGCAAATCAAAACACAATTACAAGGGCGTGACAGGATAAAAGATTGTTAGTATTCTGACGAGTAAGGTCACGTTTTCCAAATTATTATGGGCTTAAAAATGTGTTTACTTTTAATCCCGTTATCCTGTCCAATTTTGCTGGTTGCGGGGCGGAGGAAGTAATGTTTCCCCAATATCGTTTGTCATACAAAAAATCAGTCTGGCTCAGCTCTTAGGTTTTGAAATATAACTCGACAATCTTGGTTTAAAAATCGTGGCTCCCTGAAGAAGCCACGCTTGACAGAACGCTAGGACAATCGTGAGAAAGACGAATTGGCGATGAAAGCCCAGTTCTTTGTTGACTGATTTGAAACACGATGGACAAGCTGAAGCACACAATGAAACGACTAAGTAAGGCCGTATTAAATTTTTTGTCGCCTGAAAACAATGTTGGCCGTCGTTTTTTTGCCAGGATTGTTTTTGACGTCTCACGCAACTCGTGAAACGTTGTTTATTTCCAAAAATAGCGCAACAAATTGAGCTGTTGTCCGCATGCAATCATGTAAGGAACCACGACTTTCCGTCTCGGTGGGTTCTCAAGGGACGTTTTTTTATCTTCACACATCCTAGCTGACTTGATCGCCACTGACTACAAGTGAAGTATTGAACACCGCTGTTGATTTTCGGTCGTTTCATTCATGCCAGTGTTAAATTCTTAAAAGTTTTAGGTCTCCAGTTCTGTCGGTTTCTGGACCAAACAATACTTCTAACAAGATAATTTGGTTTTATCAGCTGGGTTGATAATGTGAATTGGCCACCGTAAAGAGATTCAACAGTTAACAGTTAATTTCAGAGTTTGATCACCTGACTACTTTTTCGAGCTTTTTTCTCGGCAGTTACAAAATCGGACAATTCGATCTGGTTCATAAACGTTAGTTGTAATTAAGAATCCAATACACTAGTGTNTGAATACGAGCCAAGTGGCCCATCAGGCCAGTGCTTATCCCAGTTTCTGTAGCATGAAGTGACTAGGAGTATTTCTACTCCTACCTAGATGGGATGCTAGTTCATGGCAGGGTTACCCCCAGCATTAAGTTTGCCGGTACCCATTTATCTGGGTGGAGAGAGGCACTGTGAGAGTTAAGTGTCTTGCCCAAGAACACAACACAATGTCCCCGGTCAGGGCTTGAACCTGGCCCGCTCAATCCGAAGACAAGTGCAATAACCATGAGGCCACCGCGTATAATAAGCCATTAATATTTCACTTGTATTAGTTTTATCTAGCAGTTGCCTTTTACTGCTTCTAAAAGATTAAAACTACAGCTATAGATATGGAAGATACTCTGTGTTTAGCTGTGTGGTATGCCCATGACACTTGTTAGCTTCAGAAAATTACTGAATAATTTACAATAACTAGGTAGCTAGGACTCACCTAAACTGCAATGTAATGTAGTAACCGTCAGGAACATCTATTTCCCAGATACAATTTGCTTCATGAGGATAACCAGCAGGGTACCCCGGGGAATAGAAAGTTCCAGACAGGGTATTCATGGTAACGCCACAACTAGCTGTTAACAAAAAGTGCAAAAACGTTGTCAGTACTTTCTTAATTAAATATTTCTGAAAGTAAATGCACTTCATTATTTGTCAACTCTCACATGAAGTACAGCTGTAATTGTCATCACTATGGATACAGCAATTAGAAATGCACTCTGACTAGCTTTTAAGTTTTTTGCATCTGGACAAATTATTAATAGAGTCAAACCTCCTGTAAGGGACAACCCAAAATGTCAAGCCCAGGTGGTCGACTACAGGAGGTGGTTGCTTACGACCGCATAGACCATATTGGGTCAAAATTTTTCCTTGTTAGCATATGGTAACCGCAGAGACTTAACCCATGTTTTAACTGTTTTCTTTTCTTGAGAAAAAATCTGGTACTTCCCATTGATAAATTGCTGTCTCTTGTACAACCCAGGAATGCGATAATATTATGTACAACACCTTATTATCCAATTTTTCCTCTTTTATCTGTCTAGTGGTCGCTTATGGGAGGTTAACAACAAAAGAAAATTTCAAAATTTTATCGCTAAAAGTGGTTGTGGTTGCTTAAAAGAGGTGGTCATTTACAAGAGGTTCAAAATATAGTGATTTGAATTGGAAACTTTTGGTATTTTGGAAAACTGGTCACTAAGGAGAGGTGGTGGCAACCGGAGGTTCAACTGTACATAAATTTGATCAAGTACAAAAAGTACATGTACATAATATATACATGACACTTGTAAAAATCTCTGGCTTAATTTGTAAGATCACACTTTTAGCAAGCTAGGGTTAATGACTTTGAGAATAACACTTACATGGTGCAGAAGACATCTTGCAGTCCACTGGAGCTGTTGGATCTCCTATAGGGCCGATTAAAATCATAAGGATGACAGCAGTAATATTACAGTGTATTTTTATAAGCTTTTCATTTACATGTGTATGACAAATTGTGTGGTTCTAAAAAATCTGCTGCTGCAAAACATTTCCATACTCCTCTCCTATGGATGTTTTCTTTTCTTCTCTAAGGCCAAAAAAAGTTTCTCCCAGCACAATTACATAATTTATTGAAAATTAAAAAAAATCTTACTCTTTAACAATACTTCAGTCTGTAATTTATAATTTCATGTATCACTGGGCAAGTGATGGATAAACTCTGATCCACTATGCCAACTGCAAAATCCACTAGCCTTAGGCTATTGAATGCAACTTTCATTGAACATTGCACACAATATCCAATTTATCCACCCCAAAGAGCTTCAGTAGAAATTCCAAGGAAAAGGGCTATCAAAAACCAAATGTTTTTGAAGGAAAGTATAATTTATGTACATGTATGTTAAGTTAAACTGGAATTTCCGGTACATGTAGAGTAGGGTTTAGAACCAAAAAACCTTTCTTATTTAATTCTGTGATACAGTTATAAGTATTGATGATATTTTCTGAAAAAACACATAATTTATACATGTAAATATGACAAGCCTGCCTCCTTATATGGATATTAAGTATTTTTCGCTATTAATAAATAGATATACATGTAAAAGTGTTTTTCATATCAAATATCTTTAAACTTATATTTTGAAAAAAAATATTATACTCACCACGACCATCCTCCTGGAAACATCGGTTTCTTACAGCTGAAACTTCATCCCTTGTCAATGCTTTGTTGTAGATTTGCAAACACGATATTCGTCCTTCAAAACTGTCACCTTTGCGTTGTCCACTACCTATACGAATATCTTTGTCTGTACTTAATTCGACCTTGCCAAGATTCATTTGCTGAACGTCTATACCATCTATCCACAATGTCGCAGTACCAGTGTTGTAGTTGTACGACGTTCCAACATATTGCCATTTATTTTGAAGACTGACTGTATGGTTGCGAAGAATGGAAAGAGACTCTCCACTGCGCTCCAGAAATTGTACCTTTACAGAATTACTATCCAATGTATAAAGCCCTGCTCCTCCTTTATTGTTATTATCCAAGTATTGAATGATAGAACCTGCTTGCCCAGTTTGAAATATCCAAACTAGAATCGTGATAGAATTCTTAGCATCCAAGTGTGGACTCTGTGGGATAGTGATGTGACTTGTCCCAATACCAGTAAACTCATAAGCAGTATCTGCCTTTCCAAAAGGGCCTGTAACAAGTTGGACATCCTTCGGAATTCCACCAAAGTTACCATAGCAACTTGCATCTGCCGTATTGTAGAGTCTATTAAGTGGATACAATCCGATAGGATATGGTAGCGAATCTGAAAGGATTCAGAAAACTCAGCAATCAATATGAAAAAAAGTCAAAACATCTGAGTGTTTTTTGATATAATTTTATGAGGTCAACAAGGCCACAAAAAAGCAATTTAACCAACAAACTGGAAGATTTCACTCTTCAACTTTAGGAAATTCCAGAAAATCACAAAGGCATATAAAAGCATTTTGATTCAAGACTAAAAACCATAATCTTACTGAACAGGGATGACTTTCAAGCACTGTTTCATCATTGCTTATTACATTTAACAAGAGTGAAAGAAACTGGGTGTAAAGACGAATGCAAAACCAGCTTTCAAAAATAATTACAACACTAATACACTCAACGTTAACATGATAAATGACTATCCTACCGAGCCACCTTAAAATCAGAAAATTAAAAACCCTTCTTACGTTTATGGCAATGGCAGCATTCCTGGTTAGCAAGGTCATGTATTAGAGACATGCACTAATTCTAGAGGCATAAAATAGGGTATCAATTTTTGGGTCAGGTCTGATATCTGTTCAAACCAAGAACTTTTGTGGGAAGTGTATGGATAATTAATTTTCTGGAACAAAACAAAATATAGAACCCATAAAATTGCCAATTCGTGCAATGCCAAATCGACCAAAAAATTTTTAGTTTTAGTTTTGTTTGTATAATTACCTTCGATACCGATAATATCAGACGTACACAATTGTCTGCCCTCAATGCCCCTGAATTGATCTCATATAAGCATGGCTCCCGGGGTGTTAATCGTTTCTTAATTCCTTTGGGGGTTAAGTTTTAACTTAGAATGAGCCACTGTAGCTAGTGTCAGGTAGTTAGGCCTTGTAGGCCACTTGGCAAATTTGTAAACAAGTAAATAAAGATAAAGACAGAAAGAACCTCAACATGTGATGCAATCGCTGATAGAAATGGGCCTTACCAAACTAGAAAGCCAAAAAATAAAATAAAATAAATAAATAAATAAATAAATAAATAAATAAATAAATAAATAAATAAAGACATGACTTCTGTTGGGTCACTACAACATTAACACACTTGTAGTGAAGCCAGAAGGTCAACTTTTATGAATCCTCTTTGTTTGATTATGCAACTCACATTTCATAATAAGCTAGAATATTATAGCACGGAACTGGTATTTGCATGTGTCCTGAGCTGTGTAGGTCCGTCTGTTATAGATGGTTGCATGCTAGCTCAAACGTTCGCGTACAGCCACAAAAACAACAGGCATTTAAAATCACCAGTTACATTTACACAAATAAATTGAATTTATATGGCTTATTAGCAACAATTTTACTACTGGATAGCCAAGAATTGAGCCATAAATATCAGACATGGCACTTTAAGTGAAGGAATAAAGCGATTATTCTCAAGTTTCTGCGAGCGCATTATATCTTGGCGACTTCACGCCGAATATTCTGTTATGCAAAGATGGTTGGCTAATTTTAGAATATTAAAATAATGTAATTTTCAATTGACAGCAGTAAGAGGAAAAATGTTTATCTGCCGCATGTAGCTGATACATGTGCTGTATATCCCCTCATTGAATATTATATCGAAATATCCTCCGTTAGGGTCGCGTGAATTTCAGTTATAGGTCGATCAAAATAAACAACACGTCTCGTGGACTCAAAGCGTAAAATGTCGATTGTTACAGACGTTGTAAACGCAGTTGACCTCGATATTCTCGTGACTAAAGGGCTTCTAGAATGCACAGTGTGAAGCCAATAGTAAATCAAAATGGTTCATTTCATGAGCTACCATAACGATTCAACACTTCACAAATATCAGCAAAAACACTAAATAACAAAACACGAGCTAAACTCTATAGCTTTGGTTTTAGGAAATAGTTCGTTGGTTCAAGCGATCCGAACGAGACAGATATTTTTACCGCAAGACTTCAATACACACTACAGTCCCTGCCATCTTTTAATACAATTATATTTATACATGATCTGAAATAACCGTAAACAGCGCCACAGGAAGAGTTCTTGTGTACATGAGCAGAACCTACCTTCACAAAACCCGATGAATGGAAACACGGTAAGAGTAAACACGAGCACACCACGACAATACTGGCACGTATCGACGACTTTGCCAGCCATTTTGAAGTTTGACAGCGTAGAAAGTCAGCTACATCGAAGTTTTCCAGGCTTATTGTTTTCGTGCTTCATGAAAAAAGTGTCGACATCCAGCAGGTTAAAGTATCAAAGCTATTTCAGGGGCGTACACAGAAATATCAGACGGTTTCATATTTCACTACGCACGGTTTTCGTGGCGTTGCAAAATTTCTTTTCTTCCGAGATTGCTCAAGTATTGCACAAGTACAGCATCCGATACTATCTCCTCGCACATGAAAGAAAACTCGACGAGAAAACAGACCTCGAGCCCTGTAAACCAAAGAAGTTAATCCCTAGATGGACAGGGAAGCCAGCACGATCGTACACAATAATAATCCACTGAGTGGTTTTATCACGCAAGTCACAACCAGCGTTTTCCCGCGTAAGCTGAAGCGTCGCGTTGTATTCCGCTCACAAGCGATAGCGGACGCGTATGTCAATCAAATTGTTCAGCATAGAGAAATCGCACCACGTAAAAACTTCAATTTTTTTTTAAAGGCACTTGGCTATGACCTGCTCTTTTTTTTTTAAACGTCTTCCATGCAGTTCGCGAGACAAAGGAAAAAAATTCAATTGAATAGCAGATTGCTGGGGAGTGGGGTGAGGAAAGTCAAGACTAGTGGTCACTGGTGGGGTAAAATTGCAAATAAAATTATTTTGACTCCTTAGTTTCTTTGGATTTGATAATTTTGACTACTTCAAATTCTGGGTGTTTTTAGAAGAGTCCCAGCCATGCAAATCAAAACACAATTACAAGGGCGTGACAGGATAAAAGATTGTTAGTATTCTGACGAGTAAGGTCACGTTTTCCAAATTATTATGGGCTTAAAAATGTGTTTACTTTTAATCCCGTTATCCTGTCCAATTTTGCTGGTTGCGGGGCGGAGGAAGTAATGTTTCCCCAATATCGTTTGTCATACAAAAAATCAGTCTGGCTCAGCTCTTAGGTTTTGAAATATAACTCGACAATCTTGGTTTAAAAATCGTGGCTCCCTGAAGAAGCCACGCTTGACAGAACGCTAGGACAATCGTGAGAAAGACGAATTGGCGATGAAAGCCCAGTTCTTTGTTGACTGATTTGAAACACGATGGACAAGCTGAAGCACACAATGAAACGACTAAGTAAGGCCGTATTAAATTTTTTGTCGCCTGAAAACAATGTTGGCCGTCGTTTTTTTGCCAGGATTGTTTTTGACGTCTCACGCAACTCGTGAAACGTTGTTTATTTCCAAAAATAGCGCAACAAATTGAGCTGTTGTCCGCATGCAATCATGTAAGGAACCACGACTTTCCGTCTCGGTGGGTTCTCAAGGGACGTTTTTTTATCTTCACACATCCTAGCTGACTTGATCGCCACTGACTACAAGTGAAGTATTGAACACCGCTGTTGATTTTCGGTCGTTTCATTCATGCCAGTGTTAAATTCTTAAAAGTTTTAGGTCTCCAGTTCTGTCGGTTTCTGGACCAAACAATACTTCTAACAAGATAATTTGGTTTTATCAGCTGGGTTGATAATGTGAATTGGCCACCGTAAAGAGATTCAACAGTTAACAGTTAATTTCAGAGTTTGATCACCTGACTACTTTTTCGAGCTTTTTTCTCGGCAGTTACAAAATCGGACAATTCGATCTGGTTCATAAACGTTAGTTGTAATTAAGAATCCAATACACTAGTGTATGTTGTATTCACCAGCGCTACCAGTTACAAATATTTTCTTTACTCTTATGTGATATTCGTTTTCAATTCCTCTGTCGCCAGCGTCTAGGCGAGGCTTATCTAAGAAGCGGGTTTAAGAGTGTTTAAACGCAAAAACAAAGACATTTGTTGCCGAATTAATCTTTTTCGTTTCCGCTTGTCGGATCAAGTGGGATGAGGAGGAAGTAGCTGAACGATAAGAAGGCTTAGCAGAAAGACAAGTTTAACATTTCTTTGTACATAATACGGAGTTTGGTAACGTTTGAAATGTAAACCTGTCGCGTGCAGGACCTGGTAACATCTGAAGCCCACGCTCCCAAAGAAGTTTCTTTTCTTTTTCTTTCAGAGAAAATGTTCATTTTTGTGGACGATCTGGGCTGGAACCACGTTTTTCCTTCGATTTCCGCCACAATATCATACGTCCCTTTCCTAGAAAAACGTTTAGTCGTAGCAGACGTGGCATCGGTTTCTGACTCTTGGTTTGCCCGGCTTGAAACGTTTCTAGGGTGGAACCCGGCTACCTTACGACCCTCCATCTCGTCATTATAATCACGACCAATTTGTTTTGTCTCGGGAAAAGAGGCACCTTCATGTATGCCGACCACGCCTTAAATAGGACCACAATTTTATGGCTAAATGATAAAGCGCTTTCCATTTGCATTGAAAAAGTGGGTGTCCCGGTAGGAAATTGAATGGAACATATCATTCCAGTTGTTTTTTTTCGTCGAGGCAAAAATAGGCTTTGGTAGATTGTGCTAGCATAATCTTTAGCATAATTTAGAAAAACGAGCATAATTTAAAGCTTTTATTTCAGTTTAGCACTGCTAGCATAATCCGAGCTTTTATGCCTTGAAAACAAAAAAAA